GGGAAAGAGATCTGTAATTTTCCTTTTTGTACGTTTTTGTTTCCTCATTTTACTCTTGGTTTTAATCAAGCTGATATGCTGTTATGGTAAGATATCACTAGCGACATTTTCCTTTGCGCACATGATGCAAAACCAGGAAATGTGTGGAACACCTACAGAATCCTCATCCTACTTTTTTTTTTTTTCCCCTAAAGGAAATAGAGCAATTCTTTTAAAGATTTCAGGAATGTATTCATCTCCATGGGACAACAGACCGTGTTATTACTGAATAAGCATTTTGGTTGTCATTGCTCAGGGATACAGATACATGTTTTTGAAAGAAAATTAATCTCTACTTAAGAATCGAGCATGCTTTGAATGTTAGAAGGCTAGGTTTTACTGTACCCTTCTAGCCCTCACAACAGGGGCAGGCAGACACTAATAATGTGTTTTCTGTTTCTTTTTTCAGGCCATCCGCTGTACACTGGTAAATTGCACATGTGAATGTTTTCAGCCAGGGAAGATTAACCTGAGAACCTGTGATCAGTGTAAACATGGCTGGGTAGCACATGGTAAGAAATGTCTGTTCCAGGCTTGTCTTTTCTATTCTGTCCATCTTTCACAGTGTCTTTGAATACCAAGATCTGGAGTGATATAGACAGCAGTAGAGAGAGACAGGGAGAGCGACCTGTGTCACTACATAGTAATATATACAGCCTGCCTAGAAATACCCTAACACCACCAGTCTGGTAGCTGGTTGCAGATTTATTATATATTAGATTTTCTAGTGACACATCTTATGTTCGCTCCTTTTAATTCCCAGAAAGATATCTTCAGTCACAGTATAAACAGATTCACATTTCTTGGAACGGATCGCTGAACATCGCAAGATTTCTATAGTTCAGGCATGCTTCAGGTTTTGTGTACAATCAGCATCAGAGGGTTTGCTGATCCACAGATAGGGAAGACTTGTCTAGCTCTTTTCCAGGATGTCCTCCTGTTGAGTAAGAAGAATTATGAGTCTAGGACTTAGATTCTGGCATATGGGCATCTCACATTTGCTTTTTAACCAGTACATCTTAAAAGATCAGTGTGAACAGATTTTCCTGATAAATTCTTCCCTGTGAGGTGGTTGAATTCAAAATCAGAATACATGACAGTAATCTGAGATTACCACAGTGTATATAATAGAAATGTCCCTGTTTTACAAATCCAGAAAATTGAAAGGTGAATGTGATGATCAGGGATACACCACCTGCTCCTGTACCTGAGTGCTTAACATTCCAAATAGAAAACTATATATTACTAGAAAGTGTTTGTTTTACTACTGCACCAAGTGAAGAATGCTCTGATTTATTTTTTTTTAGTACACTTTGTGTACATTCATCTGGAGTATTTACATTTTACAGCAGAGTGAGACAAGTCAGATGTATGTTTCATACACATACTCAAAGCACAGGCTTATAAATTACTTCCCGGAGACTATGATGCATCTGCTTCAATTCTTGATCTTAGCTGTTTTCCAGGATTTTGAGGGCAGCATTCAGGAGACTGATCAATTCATTGCACTGTAGTGCCTGGATTTCAGAATGACTGAATCAGATTGCAGTTCAGAAGTGATTTTCTTTAACCATTAGCACGGTACTTTCACAAGTTGTTCCTTGAATACAAATAGTATTTCCTGCTGCTTTAATTAAAGGGTTTCCTTCTGATTTTTATTAATGAATTTCAACTCAGCTCCTTGACACATGATGTAGTGCTTTACTGAATGTAATTATCAAAGAATAGGTGTTTCCAACAGGAAGTACTGTGCTTATTCAGTTCTGATAACCTAGAAACATAATTAACTGAACAGATCAAAAATAGCTTAGAACTGCAGTCTTCTCATGCTGTACTTGACTAATCTGTGCAGAGTTAATTCATGTTAATAACTGCCATTTAAAATGTTTGAATTCTCGGAGTGAGGAGGAAAGGGCATACAGCCACCACAGTATTATTGCACTTAGCTGGCCTGTTTGGTTTTTTTCCTGCTTCCATTGTCTTTCTCATGTTTTTCCTCGCTCACCTAAAATGAGCTGCACACATCTTGAAAGGAAAGGTTTCCTGCAAGTTCAATTTCTTCTGTCTGGAGTTGCCAAAAGTAGGATTGTCAATATATGAACAGATTCATCAGAGGAGTTCTTTTGTGGCAAGATAAATGTTTCTGTTGGCAAAAGTTCAATTTATCGAGTTTTGACCCTGCACCCCTGTGCTATAGTGGTAATCCTACCATCAGTGTTGTTAAGGCTGTAGCCAAAAGCTGCGTAGAGCATAGCAGCATTCTCTAGTACTGCTGTGCATAATGGAGAACGGGTTATTTCTGGTGTGAATCTTTGGATATTTTAAGGGATTTGGTTAACTAGACTGTTTTGTTTTTAGCTGAAGCCTGGCTTTCATATCGTCAGCTTGGGTGGGGATTTGTTTTCAAAAATACAAAAGAAATGGTTTAAATTGGATAAGACACTTCCTAAGCCTCAAGCAGGCAATCAGATAACAGTTTTATGTTTTTCATTCTGTTTTTGTTAAATGGTTAATATACTTTGTATAGTGCATATGGTGAAAAATAAAATCTTATTAAAATCTTAATAGTTGATTTTTTTAAACCATAATTTAGTTTAACACAGGCAATTGCTGTTTTGTGGCCTTTAAATAATGTAGGAGTAAGATGACAACAAAAAATTAAGACTTTCTTGAGCACTTGAATTGGTTTATTCTTCTGATATTTTTGTTATATTAAAAGTACCATATTGTACTATGAAGATGGTCATGACATTTTACTAGCTTTACTACAAAAATAACTTACTCAAACTTTATTGGAAATAATAAAAAAACTCACTTTATTTACCACCCAATTCCCCTAGCAGAAGTATCTTATCCTATGAGGAAAGAATTATCAAGTCCAGAGTTAAAGATGTTGATTTCATTGACTTTGCATTTTGCCTCGTATGCTTGTCATTGATGTCAGAATAACAACTACTATGCTGCCAGCAGAAATACTCTTATTATGCCTAGTCCAACAGATCAAAAGACCCAATGCAGTATCAATGGGAAATACAATCTACTCTCTTGCAAAACCGTTTTGCTCTAACAAGGTGTGCTGAGGTGATATATGTCATAGTGGACTAAAGCTATTATTTATTACATTCATTCTATTTATTTTAGTTTCAGTATCTCGGAGTTTGTAGGAATTAAAATAAAACACAGTATAAAAATATTATTAAGTTTGTCTGAAATCATTCTTACCCTGTTTCAAAGAGAGTCAGAAAGTTAGAAATACTGGTTCTCTGTCTTGCCTTCAAACTGATCACTGGTAAACTCATAGCGCAGCAGCATGTTTTTCAGATGTTTTTGGTATACTGTGCATTCTTGGACTAGCTGAATTTCGCACTGTTCTATCCGCTTTAGGAACTGAAGTATCCTGTAAATATTTTTGCTGTCTTCCGTGCTTTTTTTTTGCTCAGAGAAAGCTGATCCCTAGTCCTCTAGTCATCTTTGATGTCTTCTCATCTGCATCATGCCAGTCATCAGAGCTCCGGGGTGGGCCCTTTATTCAAGTAGGCTTTAGTACCTCTCTGAGGTATGATGAGGCCACATATGGCCCTATCTCTGGTCCAAGACTTGTCCAGGCCTCTTCTCTAGTCACTTTGAGATAAAGGTCTTTTCAGTTTTAATGAAAATGACATTAACTAGTAGGTTTTAGCACATAGGGCAAATCCATTACTCTTTTTCAATTTAAAAGCTACCACCCTGAACACTCATGCTCAGAAACTTGCCATGTGGGTTACACTTTCACCTTATGAAGGAAGTTTGCTGCTGCCAGGATTTTACATAACGCATGTACTAGCTTGCTGTAAATGAGACTAATAATGAAAACAAGAACCTCAACTAGAAAATGGAGAGTGCTCTGTCATAAAGTCAGAGGCATGACATAACTGTGACTTCGTTATTCAGAATGGTTGAGTTTTCTGAATTTCTAAATGGTAGTTCGTGAAATTTTCACGTAAAAGAAACATGACGTGAGAACAAAAGAAAGGAAGGACAAATGTAAATAAATAAAGAAAAGAAAAAGAAGAATGATGTGGAAAATTTAGAAATTGCATCTCCCCCTTATCCTGAAGTTGCTGAAAGGATTTGGTCGAGGAAGAAGGTTTAGATTTTAAATGTGAGCTGCATGGGATTGAGGCAGGAAGGGAGTGCTATGTTGAAATAAAAATCAGCAGGGTTTCTATATTTGTTTCAGTCCAAACCTGTAAATGAAAGAAATCCAGGTTTGCAAAGTCAAATATCATCTCTAACAAAGCAAAACGAAACCACATCATGGATCTTAGACACTCTCTAAAAGCTGGCAGAACGGCCGTGTTGTTCTTTAGTTAAAAATGGAGATAGTAAAGAATAAATACTAAAAAAGGAAAGGAGAAATTTAATCCTGTTATTAGAGTTTGCGTGTAATTATAAAAAATAACACAATTTTAGCATACCTAACATACTTGTTTCTTTCTATTCAGTTTATTCATTTAAAATGCTTTAAAATCAATTGAGAACATTGTAGATGTTTTTTTTTTAGTTACATAGGGATTTTTAGCAAAGTAATTATCTGCAATTCATTGATAACAAGGGCTAGTTCTTCATGACTTTTAAAGTAAAACTCTTTTAGATCTAGCCTGGCTTTTCCTGTCTTTTACTGAAAAAATCATTTTAATCCATCTGTTATAACTTCCTTTTGACCCTGAAGGCTAAGGCATATTTTTCATTACTCAGTTGCTTCCAGGAACCTTACCTGATTAACATTCACTACTGGTAAACACTTTTGTAAGTCCCCCCTTCTGCCTATGCCAACCCTTTTTGCTTCCATTCAGCAGCAATTCCCAAAGTGGCCAATGCAACACAGAGAAGATGCACTATGTTATCTTGTGGGTACACTGACCCAGTAACTGGTTTTAAAGTCTGCCACATTGGTAGGAATGATGTGGTGTAGTGTCTGCTGTGGGTTACTCTGAGATCGCCCTTAATGCAAGTCAAGCTGAGGTAAAAGCAAATGAGAATATCCAAGCATTAGGGCATCCAAGACAAATAATATTGTTTCAGAGGTTTATAAGACACAAGTGACAAAAAGGATATAATGCTTAGTTGCCCCAACAACAAACAAAAAGCCTTTCTTTTCCATCCTTGTATTCATCTGATACTTACATAACCATATGGCCAAGGGTTTAGTCCTCATGCAAATTTGATATCCTCAGGTGTCGAATAAGGTTTTCCCTGGGGCTAAACCTTACATATGTTCACAGTCACACCTCCTTGGATTTCCCTAGGGATCCATTCAGATTAAAATCTTTTTTCTCTTCTTCCCTGCCAACCCGAGGACATAGAAACACAATTGGGAAGAGGTTAGACCTTTCTCCCTCTCCCCAACTTTATTGGCTCATGGGCCTGGATTTGAATATGCCAATGATGTCCCTTGGATGTGGTCAGCTAAGGACTGCTCCAGTGCCTGATAAGCTCTAACCAGACCATGACGCATTCTGAAGCATGGTGC